AAAAATATAAAGTGCTGATGGCAGAAAAGAGAAGCTCATATATAAAGAATAGAAAATCATCCAGTTTTCCTGGTCCACAAGAGCTCAGTGAGCAGAGAAATGAGAGATAAGGTTTAAAACATGAGTTGAGGTCATAAAAACATGGAGAGTCTGTTAGGTTTAAATTAAGGCCCTTGGACTTTGTTTGATAGATAATAAGGAGCTATTGATGGCTTTTTGAGTACCTGATAGACACTAACCATAAGTTTTTAGAGTGGATGAGGTGTCAGGTGATCCAAACCATACTATCATTCTGTACACTCTGAAGTGCCTAACATAGTGTTAGCACATAATAACTGTACAACAATAGTTTTTAATTGGCTATAGAAAAATACATAAGCAGGGGAGCCATCAAAAAAGGCATTGAGAATGTCTGACAGCTTAGAGATAAGCCAGACATGCTCTTTTGGCACTCACTGTTCATCTACCGCCTTCTGCACACTCTCGTGTCATAGGGGCTGGAAGGCTAACAACTACATTTCTCAGGCTCCCTTGCTGCCAACGTTTGAGGTGAAATCCAGGAAATAAGATCCCCCCATGAGATCTGGAAAGTGAAATGCTGGTGGAGACCATTTTTATTTCTACGCCAGTGGTAAGCCCTGGCAGAAATGCATTTTGTAGTGGACAGACTTCACAATCACTCTCCAGTGACCAGCTTCATGAATGTGAAGCAACTGTGAAATTGGCAGCATTTCTTGACCTCTGCGTGTTGACAATGATTTCCTGACCTCTGGTTCATAGCTTCAGGGTTATAACCTTATAACCTAACATCGGCATGATCTGTAAGTCTAACAGGACCTCTTCACGTGCATTTCTACAGCTCTTCCAATGATTTTGTAGCACCCCATTCCCTGCATTAAATTCCTTTCTACTTGAAATACCTAAACCCTTTTCTATTTCCTGCACCAAATCTTTACTGAAATAAAAGATGAGGAAACTTGCATGGCAGAGGGTGAAAGTTCTTCAGTCCCACATTGACTTGTCTTTGAATGAAAGTAATTCGAGTCCAAGGCTCTTTTATACTACAAAGGGCATCGAAGTGCCTTTCAGTCAATGTCAGTGCAGGCCTTTGTCCTCCACCCTCTCCCTTACTTATCTGAAAAAAAAAAAAAAAAAAGAAAAAGAAAAAACACATTTTTTTTGGCCAATTTACAAAAATATATATATTCATTGTAGAAAACTTGGGAAATACAGAAAATTATAAAGAAGAAAATAAAAAGCATTTGTAATTCTACTAGTGGGAAATAACTTTTTGAATCAGTAAAGATGAGGTTAAGCTGTAAGAGACCGAAAACTCAACATACAAGCAACTTACATTAAGTAGACATTTCCCAGAAAATGCAACATTGCAAAACCCTATCTCCACAACAAACAAACAAACAAAATCCACAAAAATTAGCCAGATGTGGTGGCGTGTGCCTGTAGTCCCAACTAGTAGGAAGGCTGACGTGTGAGGGTCATCTGAGCCTGGGAGATCAAGGCTGCAGTGAGCTGTGATCATGCCACTGTGCTTCAGCCTGGGCAACAAAGCAAGATCCTGTCTCAAAACAAAAAAAAAAAAATTAGAGTAGACATTTCATTCTTTGTTTCTCACATAAAAACGTTCAGGAGTAAGTAGTCCAGGGATAGTGGCTCTAAGACCATCAGGAATCCAGGCTCCTTCTCTGTTACAGTTCTGCTATTCTTGACACATATTTACACTTCATTGTCCAAGGTGACTGCTTTAGCTCACTCTCTCATACTACATTCCAGCCAGGAGAAAGGGAGAAAGAAAAGTAAGAACACATCCCTTCTCTTTAAGGAAATCACATGTGACGTTTTGCTGTTTCTTTGTTCCCTGTGGACATACCTATTTGAAGAGAAAACTGAGAAATTCAATCTTTATTCTGAGCAGCTGTGTACTTAGGGAGAAATTGAGGTTCCCTCCTGAAGAAGAAGATGTGAATGAACATTGGAAGATAGTTAACACTCTCAGTCACATAACTACAATTAGCCAGTCCTTCATACAGAAGTGTGCATTTTTCTCTTTCTTGGCAGCTCAGGTCCCAAAGCTACCCTCATTCCAAGTGTTAATCTTAATGTTTCTGCTGATACCATTTTTTGTCACTTTGGCCTGTCGCCCTTTCCTGAAGCATTTTGCCTGGGCTACTTCTATTCACATTAGTTACTTTTATTTTTTATTTATTTATTTTAGAGGTGGAGTCTTGCTCTGTTGTCTAGGCTGGAGTGCAGTGGTATGATCATGGTTCACTGCAGCCTTAAAATCCTGGGCTCAAGCAATTATCTTGCTTCAGCCTCCCAAGTAGCTAGGACTACAGATGTGCTCCACCACACCTGGCTTATTGATGATTATTACTTTTCTAGAGATGGAGTCTCACTATGTTGCCCAGGCTGATTTACAACTCCTGGTCTCAAATGATCCTCCTGCTTCAGCCTCTCAAAGTGCTGGGATTATAGGTGTGAGCCACTATACCTGGCTAGCATTAGTTATTTAAAAAATTCTTTATCAGTCCACCTGACTTTTCTCTTCTCAACTTACCTGAAAATGTAACACCCCACTTAGTCCCTCAGATTAAACTCCTTTCTTTTTTTTTTGGAGACAGTTTCGCTCCTGTTGCCCAGGCTAGAGCACAATGGTGCAATCTCGGCTCACTGCAACCCCTGCCTCCTGAATTCAAGCGATCATTCTACCTCAGCCTCCCAAGTAACTGGGATTACAGGTGCCTGCCCACAAATGGTCATTACAGAAGTTTGATCTGGCCAGGCATGGTGACTCATGCCTGTAATCCCAGCACTTTGGGAAGCTAAGGCGGGCAGATATTTTAAGGCCAGGAGTTAGAGACTGGCTTGGCCAACATGGTGAAACCCCATGTCTTCTAAAAATACAAAAATCTGCCAGATGTAGTGGTGCCCACCTGTAATCCCAGCTACTGGGGAGGCTGAGGCATGAGAATTGCTTGAACCCGGGAGGCGGAGGCTGCAGTGAGCCAAGATCACGCCACTGCATTCCAGTCTGGGTGACAGAGTGAGACTGTGTATCAAAAAAAAAAAAAAAAAAAAAAAAGACCATTTGTAAAGCCACCTTGACCTGTATCTGAGTCCTTTTCCAAGAACAGCTGCAGGCTGTATTGTCTCTCCTTCTCCTGACCCACCATTCTATCTTTCCTTGTAAATGTCAAGTCGTTCTTTAAACTAACACCTCCCTGAAGCATTTCCGGATTAATTGCAGCTCTCATGCACTTCACAGGAAGTGCCAATCAATGTTCCTTCTTCTACGCCTTACCAGGGCTGTACATTACTTTCTATTCAGTGCGAACTGTGTTTCTTCTGATTTTTAGCCAGTATTCTTTCTAGGTCCTTTAGAGTCTGAGTTTTCTCTAACCATATTCTTTTATCACTTTTTTCACTCTTACATTAAAAGCTGCTTAGGGACTACAACCTCTGACCACAGAAATATATGCAAATAGACACTTAATGCAGTCTGTTGATGAATTTCTCTCATGGCTCCTTTTAGGCTAAGCAAGACTCAATGAGCATCTTCTTGCTCTTTCTTGGAACCTATTATGGCTCTACAACATCATGGGCTTCCCAAAGCTTGAGGATTTGAGATGCAACCATAGACAGTCGACTTCCAATGCTACTCCCTTGGAGAGATTCCCTGGCTATAAGAGTTCCTTGCTTAAATAAGGCAGGGGTGCTTTCTCAAGGAAATCAAAGATCGTTTCGATATCTAATCTCTGTGAGTGCAATTGGACAAGGAAATGTGTCTTTGGGGCCTGCAGCAGTTAACAACAAGCTAGGTTATGCTTCTATATTGAAAATCAGTAAAATATTAGTGGCTTTAAACAAAAAATGTTGATTTCTTGCTTATGTTACTTGGCCCTTGTGGGTTGGCGGGAGGACTTTGACATAATAGAGTACCCATATCAGTGACCCTCATTGTAGAGAGAAAGAGTTCTGGGGTGTCTTGCATCAATAATTCAATATTCCAGCCAGGAAGAGACCCACATCACTTCTGCTCATTGGCTAGAACTAGTCACATGGTTCTGTCTAAACAAAGAGATCAGGAATTACAATCTCCCTTGTGTTTGAAAAGAAGGGGAACTGGAAATATTTAGAGAACAGCACTAATGATGTCCACAGACCCAATTGTAATGATTAACATTCACAGGCTAGTATTTGACCCAGACTAACTTGAGGCAATTGCAGTCAGCATTTCTAAACCTCTTTGTATTTCAATCAAAATAAATCACTTTCAACATTTTGCTCCTAATTACTCTGTATCCCTCTCAAATTGTTCCTACTTCAAGGTGCAATCAGTGAAATGATTTGAGAGCCCTGATGCAGTTTCAGGCCTGTCACAGCTTCTTTGCTAACATCTTCACCTTGGCACTTGGGTTCTCCTTGAGAGTCCTCCCCACCCCCTTCACCAGCCTCAACCTCACTCTGCCTACCTCATCACCCTGGGCGCTGCTTGCATGCATCACTGTTTTGGTGGATGGCAGCAATACACAAGGGCACATCATTGTTGGAAAGGAACTGCCTTCCGCCTGCCAAGGACAAATGCAGACACACAAAGCAATATCAAGCGAGACTTCACATCAAAGGGAACCCTGCCTGGGCTCGCCAAGAGCAGGCTGCCTCTGTCTTTCTCTTCAGCATTGTCAGTATTCTTAGGGCTCAAGGGGCCTACGGTGTCCCTGCCAGGCTGTCTCATTCACCCAGCACTCCTGTTCACTCTGACACCAAAAGCTCAGGGCTCTTCCTGAATCTGGGCTCAACCACTTGAACAGAGCACAATGCCAAGTGTTTAAAAATGTTAGGTTATAAAGAAGGAAAAGCTCTCAGAACTATTTACTCTGTAAACTCTACATGAGTAGGAGAACAGAATGCTTTACATTGTTCAGCAAAGCAACACATAGAAAGTTAAGAAATCCCTGCCTAAGACCTAGAAAAGTTACCTAATGAGGAAGGAAGAATGCTCCATGAGTGGAGATTTGGGAATGTTGGAGCCAATGCTGAAATTGATACTGGCTAGCCTGGGCATTCAGACTTGACTGGAGAAGTCATATGACAAACAGAAGATCCAGAGAAACTTCAAGTTCTACTTTAGCATCAACAGAAGAATTCAGACTCTGTTGCTTTCAGGAAAAGAAGACGCTTGTTTTACAAAGAGGATGAAGGAAAAATGGAAAAGAGGGACACGCAGGGACAAAGAAGCGGATTGAAACTTTATTTTAGAAAACAAGTAATCCTATCTGTTCTGGATGCTAAAGAACTCTTCTGGAAGGATACACTCATCATCAAAATACAATGGAAGTTAAAAGTTTTAAAAGTCAAATATTGTGAGAGCTTGAAAGGGGAGATGGTCTTTTCCAATTATTATTATTTTTTTTGAGTTATAAAAATCTAAGGCTCAGGAATGTCAAGGGGCTTTTTCACAGTCACACAGCTGCTTAGTGACAAAGCTGTAGCTAGAACCATGACTTTCAGGCATGGGTTGTTAAATCACAGTGTGGTGTAATGGTACTACATGTGGCATGCGATCTGGGAGCACAGGTCTGCAACTTCATCAAGCACAGCATTTTTAACATGGTGACTTCAACCCTTTGACTACGATCTTCCACTGCAGCCAACCCTACTGTACTGTTCCAACAGCTTCCCAGAATGGTAGTAATTAGAGCAAAGAAAAAAAAGAGGACCCAGAGAAAATGTAACATTTCTAGTAATGGGAGGAGGTGGAGATAGTGCATTTACATAACTTTCTACTTTCAGAACACTTCATGTGACCACGGGTTATTAACCTAGGGCCCATGGAGAGAACTCAGGCGTTCCAAGACAGGAAAAAAAAATTACATCCTTTACTAAACTCTCACTGAAATGCGTCATTACCTTCATTATGAATGTAGGCAATAAATCACAACAGTATTTGCAGTACTTGGACTTTGTCACTAATAGAAATAAATGTTTTCATATTATATTAGCTGTTGCGATATCTTGAAATATCTTTACCTTTTCTTTACCACTTTGCTATGATGGTAGTTTTTAGATCTGCTGCTAGATTTTCTTAAATAGTGCTTAATCAGCACCTACATTGCTATACCACAGATTTTTATAAATGTCTTGATAACAATATTTCAATGTAATTGGATTATTTTATAATTCTATGTATGTATTTATTTTAAGCAGTTAAAGGCATAATTCTGAGAAGGAATCTGTATATTTCACCTGCCGGAGGGGTCCTTGGCATGAAAGTTAGGAACTCTAACATGTGAGGGATGAACATGTATCAAGTCGCCAATGGCTACCCGTGTCACCAGGTCCCCTGTCCCTGTACCATCATCCTGTGGGCTCAGAATGACAGGGATGCTTGCTTGTCATTCTGGGTTGGAGAACTGCCAATATCTCTTGCCACAGACTGTGTTTGTAATTCCAGGGTGTGCCAACCTTTGAAAGCTAACATGAGTATATTGCAAAATGTGACAGAAAAGAATCCATTGTTGGCATTATTATTAAAATTAAGGCTGATGTGGAGTTTGTAATATTTTTATGTTCACACATCCACGGAAGTTGACTTTTCTACAGAAACTGGCACTTTGAAGTCCAGTCAAAAGGAAGTCAATGTTTTCAAAGATGACAAAAACTGATTTGTCATGGTCAATACATGTTCAGACTACTATTAAGTAAGAAAAATAAAAATTTTAAATATTAAGGCACCATTTTTACCTCTCAAATAGGCCAAGAGTTTTAAAGATGATAATTCTCCAGATTGATAGGGTATAGTAACACAGGCATTTTACTAAACTACTCACAAGCCAAGGCTTGACATAACTTTTCTAGATGGCAAATTTGACTCTGTTTTAAGTGCTTGCTTTTCATCCAGTTTTTTCACTTCTAGGAATTTATTCTACAGGTAGAATTACAAAGATATTCTTTCAAGGATATTCTTCAAAATATTATTCATAACGGTAAAAAAAATCGGAGAAACAGCATGAATGCCAACAACAAGAGCTTGGTTAAATTACACTACATCTGTAGGATGAACTATTACATAGCTAACTGAAAAAATAGCCATTCTGACAATATGTAATGATATGAGGAAATGTACAAAGTTAATGTAGATTTAAAATACGACACATAAAACTGCAAGAGTAAAATAATTCTGTGTTTTAGTTGTAAAATATACTTCATATTTCTTTGCAATCTTATGTATATATACCTATAGAATATGTATGTGTAAAAAAATAGAAGGAAATATATTAAAGTGTTAGGGTAGTGGCATTTTAATGATTGGGTAGAGGCATTTTAATTATTTGTATTTACTTCTTTATGTTTTTGTATCTCCTGACGTTAGAAAAAGCAGTGGGACACTGTTTTGAAAAAGATGAGCTGGTGCCACATGGGCTGATGTGTTTGCTGTGCCTTCTTGTTGCTCCAGACAAAAGTTTGTTTTGCTGGTTGCTACTGAGTGTTATTTTTCTTGTAACCTTTGCTCTCTTTCCCCACCATTGGCTTCCAGATGTCTGATTTAACCAAGTTCAGGACACTTTACACATGTGCATTTTCCCCTTTAGCTTGAACAGAAAATTCAGAAACTGCCTTAAGACTGCCAGCCTGAGAGAGTCAGCACCAACATGAATGTCAACCCAAAACCTCTTGGCCTAATAAAAAATAGCTCAATGGGGGAATCTGCAGCTTTTGTAAAAACTGGGAACTGAGTTTGAGATAGGGTAATATTTGAGGAGGCATCTGCCCCTTTTTCCTCTTCATCAATGATAGCTTCTGCCTAGTTGTGCTTTCTGTATGTGTGGGCCAAGAATGGAGATAAAAAATAATTCTTCTACAGCAACTTAACCTTTTGCTGATATTTGGTAGCAAGTGATAAATTTTTTTTTTTTTTTTTTTTTTGAGACGGAGTTTCGCTCTTGTTACCCAGGCTGGAGTGCAATGGCGCGATCTCGGCTCACCGCAACCTCCGCCTCCTGGGTTCAGGCAATTCTCCTGCCTCAGCCTCCTGAGTAGCTGGGACTACAGGCATGTGCCACCATGCCCAGCTAATTTTTTGTAGTTTTAGTAGAGACGGGGTTTCACCATGTTGACCAGGATGGTCTCGATCTCTTGACCTCGTGATCCACCCACCTCGGCCTCCCAATGTGCTGGGATTACAGGCATGAGCCACCGCGCCCGGCCCGCAAGTGATAAATTTTTAACGTTCAGTAATTATTTAGCATATAGTGTATGAATTGGCTGGAAAAAATCTGTTTGAATAGATAAAGACATATTTTCTGTGGATTTTACCTTGAAAGTAAGAAATACAAAGGTAATTTTCTGTTTATGAATGTTTGTTTTAGCGTTCTACTATTTGCAATGCCATTTAGAATTTTGGAAACATTAAAGTCTATATTTCATTCCTCCTCTCTTTCTTAAACTTGGATCAATTTTCTCCTGGGTGAAGTTTAAAATAATAAAAACTGGGAAACCATTTACTCAATGCCTCCTGTTGCATAGCAATCTAAACAAACAGGCCCCTTTCCTCTGTTAAGAACTTCCAACAAGCTTTGTGACAAATTACAAAGCTTGTGTTTAAAAAAATGATTTCCAAGCTCCCCACCCCCAACCCCATTTTAAAGCTTCCTTTAAAAAAATAGAGGCAAAAGATTGTAGACAAGAAACTTAATTGGCTTTTTAGTGAGTCACTTCTCATGCTACTACAGGGATTAGAAAACTCTTTTGTTTGTGGTGAAGGCAGAGGGTCTGAGCTGGACACATAAATACCAAGCCAACCAAAGCCAGACAAATAATAAGAAATAATAGCAACCGCCAGGGGGTCCGTATCTTCTGTGTAGCAGATACAGTGCCATGTAAGTTATCTAATCTTATAACAAACTTCCTGTGTTGGATATCTTAAATTTGCACCCCCAGGTCCTCTCTCTACACTTCTCCACTTCTCCATCCTGCTCTCTGCCCAGGGAGGATGACTTATTTAGACAGCAGCAAAGGGCTTGCTTACCCAAGGGCACTGGCAGGAGAGAGGAAGTAGGAGGTAAGATCAGAGTATTTTCCTGGCCCCCTCTCTGCTGGTTCCAGCAGGTTGGCCGTTTCGCTCCACCCAGAGATACAGCTCCTGCCAGGCAGCCCTTTCCATTCGACTGCCCTCCCTGGCTTCCGAGAATGGCTCCTAGATGCCTCATTCAGGTCTATGGTGGGAAGAGCTCCCTGCTGTTGCCAGATCCATATCAAAGTGAACTCTTAGGCAATGTCTTCTCATGCAATTTATTGGGAAATCAATCAGAGACTGACCTTGCTAGACTACCTCTAGTGTCCTGTGCACATTATTTAAATTTTAAATTATTTGTCTTTTCAAATCATGGGCTTTGGCACCAAGCAGTTTTGGCCTTGAATGTAAGCTTTGTCAACACTGAACACTTGAACAAAGTATTAACCTAGTAGAGCCTCAATTTACTAAAAATTAAAGAGTAACAGTAACATCTACCCTACATAATATTGTAAGGAGAATTCAGTGAACATACATAAAATTTTATTACAAGGTACAGCACATAAATATAATTTTATTCATTTTTTTCCCCTCTTTCCTCCAAGTAGGGGTCAAATTTAGCTAACATTTATTGAGTGCTTATTATGTGCCATGTACTAGTTTAAGCATTTTATACATATTAATTTATTTACATCAATCCTATATACTACTATTCTATCTTTTACAGATGGAGAAACCAAGGTGCAAAGAGGTTAAGAAACTTGCCCAGTGTTTACTAGGACGTAAGATGGGGGTACTAATTTACAACTAGTTGGTAAACTTTTCAAGGCAAAACCAACTGTATACCGAATTTCTTTCTTTTTTCACAAGGCCTAGCAAGATGTCTTTCATACAGTATGTGTTCAATAAGTGCTGATTGTATTCCGGGAGCAGAGGCAATTAAGCTAGGGTTGTAATAGTTAGGGAGTCAGGAGATCCGCAGGTCAGAGTAGCAGCCGCTTTCACGAAGCAGCAGTAATGCATGCCGCTCAGAATTGAACGCAAGGCCCTGGTAACTGAGGAACGGGCTCCTGCTGGAAGGTAGAGCAGAGAGCAGCCAGCTATCTTGGGGAGGGGTGAGGCAGGAAAGAGAACTTGAGCTGGGAGGCCAGCAACGGTGGAAAGCTCCCCAAGCGAAGCTTGAGCTCCTCTCTCAGCCATCCTCCTGGCCCTGAGGATACAGTAAATCT